CCATTTGTTTAATGCCTTTCTTACCATCACAGTGTTGGATATCCATTCGGGGAATTAGATTTCTTTGACATGCCCTGCCCGTAGCAACTTATCCACCTCAACTTCAATTGCTTTGTCGATCTCTTCCCCGTGATGTCTAAGTCGCTGTTTTACTGGTTTTCTGAGGGGGTCGACATTGAGTTTATGCTCCATAACAACGGGGTCGATCCCTGTTAACTCTTCAGGGGTGAAGGCAAAGACATCCCTGAACTCCCTAAATAGTGCGATCAGCTGATTTCGTAGCTCGGCTTCCAGATCTTTCCCGACCTTAGTGGTCTGCTCCTTTGTTTCTCCGATTTGTATTTCCATTAGCTCCCCGTGGGGTTCGAGATCAGAATTCCTTGGCCTTTTTTCGCTCATCATTGGCCTTTTTCCTTCCTTCTCCTCCGTCCGTTGGTTTGTCCTTACTGCAATCTGATAGAAGGTTCTCGACAGCCTCTGGTCGCCTCGGGCCTCTCCTACCTTATCTCCGACAGGGAATTTTAGCTTCATATGATAGGTTGATACTACTGCTTGGAACGCGTTGAGTGCCGACCTCCCCAGGATCACATTATAAGCCGACTCGACGTCGACCACAACAAATCGCACCATTTTTACCTTCCTTAAATCGCCTTCCCCGAGGACGACAGCAAGAGTGGTTTCCCCCAAAGGAGCGACTTCCGAACCATTAAATCCGAAGAGTGAAGTATGAAGAGGCAAGAGTTCAATGTCGAGTTCCATGCGTTTAAGGCAATCAAAAAAGATCACATTTACCGAGCTCCCTGTGTCGATAAAGATTCTCTGGACCTCGTAGCCCGATATCTGAGCTGTGATCATCAAGGCATCGTTATGAGGTCTCTCGACTGCTCCCATGTCGGCTGGTCCGAAATTCATCACCGGACTATCTTCTTCGACCTGCTGCACTTCGGTTTTTCTATGATGCCCTCGAGCATATGCTTTTCTAGGCCGGTTTGAATCGCCATCAGTTGGTCCTCCAAATATCATATGAATTACTCCTCTTTTTTGGGGAAGCCCTTCCTTATCGGGTGTTCTCGCCCTCTTGCGAGGGCTTTTGCTCCTCTCCCTTCGTCGACTGGGCCGTTCTCGATCTTTATAAACAAATTCCTTCAGATGGCCTGCTTTGATTAATCTCTCTATCTCATTTTTCAAGTGCCGACATTCGTCGGTGTTATGGCCATAGTCTTTGTGGAATCGACAATACAGGTTACTTTTAGGCTGTGTCGGCCCGTCCTTTCTCGTTTGTGGCCACCTGATGACGTTGTCGCGAATCTCTCTCTCCATAACCTCCAGTATCCTTATGCGCGAGGCCGACAGAGGCGTATATTGGGTTGTTCTCCACCCCCTTGGTCGCCCTTCTCTTTCGGCTCTTGGGGATCCTTTCCTTTCAGTTGTTGCGACCGGCTTTTTATCCTTCTTCTCATCCTGAGGCTCAGTTTTTGGCTTAGCCGCTTGCAGAAAGTCGGCTTCGACTTCCTCAACATTCATGTATTTGGCGCACCTTCCCAATACTTCATCAAACGTCCTCCCGGGCCGCTTCGCTAGGGAATTTCTGCACAATCCCGGGAGTAGCCCTCGAGTGAATCCTCCCAACTTGATCTCCTCAGTAGCCGAGGGGACGTCGACACATGCCCTTGTGTACCTTGCT